GCTATTGGCAAATCGACGTCAACGAAAGAGACCAAGAGAAGACAGCGTTTTTAGCATCGGACGGCCTCTTCGAGTTTAAGGTGATGCCCTTCGGTCTTTCCTCAGCGCCTGCCTTTTTAAAACACGTTATGGATAACGTACTGGTAGGATTGAAGTGGCAGACTTGCCTTGTGTACTTGGACGACGTCGTGTTTTTCTCGAGTTTCGACGAGCATCTTCGGCGCCTTAAAGCTCTACTTCAAACCATCAAGACGTTTCGACTCACACTGAAGCCAGAAAAGTGAAGGTTTGTGTACGATGAGCTCTTGTTCCTGGGACACGTGATTAGCAAGTCTGGAGTTCGTCCTGATCCACGGAAAACAGCTACCATCGCTGACTTCCCGCCGCCCACTGACAAGAAGGCAGTGCCCCGATTTCTGGGCATGTGCGCCTATTATAGGCTGTTCGTGAAAAACTTCACCCGCATTGCTGATCCACTCACTAACCTTACCAAGGTCAACGTGGAGTTCAAGTGGGAAACGCCGCGGAACACGCTTTCCAGGAGCTTAAACATCGCCTCCAGACGCCTCCGTTACTGTCCCATTTCGACGAATTCGTCGAGAAAGAAATACACACTGACTCAAGCAGCGTAGGTCTCGGCGTCATTCTTGTGCAGAGGGCTGACGGACTTGAAAGGGTTATTAGTTACGCCAGCCGATCGCTATCCAAAGCAGAAGCTCATTATTCCACAACATGAAAGGAGTGCTTCGCCAGCATCTGGGCTGCGTCGAAATTTCGCCCCTTCCTCTACGGAAGGTCCTTCAAAGTTGTGAGTGACCACCACGCCTTGTGTTGGCTAGCTACCATGAAGGACCCTTCAGATCGCCTTGCACAATGGAGCCTGACACTTCAAGAGTATGACATTACCGTCGTTTACAAGTCCGGCAAGAAACACTCTGACGCCGACTGTCTCACTCGCGCGCCGGTCGACCAATCACCGCCAGACGACCCGGATGACGATCACTTCTTGGAAACGATAACGGCCGACGACTTCGCTGAACGACAGCGGGCCGACCCGGAACTTAAGGCCCTAATGAAATACCTCGAAGGCAGGTTTGCCGAAGTTCCGAAGGTATTTGAGCGCGCACTTCCGTCGTTCTTCTTGCGCAACGGTCTTCTCCTAAGAAAAAAAACTTCTCAAGGAGGCAGCCAAAGCCAGAGGGTTCCTGGAATGAGGAGACCTCCCACCTATGGTGAACACGGAACCTACACCGCAACACCGTTTCGAAAATAAACGTTTATTCCTCCTCCTCCTCCTCTCACTACTTTGAGCCAAGTACCTCCTTGTGATGCCTTCAGCTCTGTGATCAGAATTCCTGCAGGTCCTGCAAGACAATGCGACAGCTGGGCATCTCGGTGTTTCCCGCATGCTCGCGAGGATACAAGAAAGGTTCTACTGGCCACGTCTTACCGCCGACGTCACTCGTTATGTGACAACATGCCGGGACTGTCAGTGGCGCAAAACACTGCTGACAAGGCCAGCGGGACTTCTGCGGCCAATTGCACCACCTCGCTGACCACTCCAGCAAATTGGTATGGACCTTTTGGGGTCATTTCTGACGTCGGCTTTCGGAAACAAGTGGATCACGGTAGCTACCGACTACCTCACCCGCTACGTCGAGACAAAGCCAAGCCCCAAATGCAGTGCGTCCGAGGGTAGCTAATTTTTCGTCGAAAATATCGTCCTACGTCAAGGTGCCCCGGAGGTCCTCATCACGGACAAGGAATGGCATTTACTGCTGACCTAACTCAAGCGATCTTGACATACAGCAAGACAAGCCACCACCGTAAAGAGCGTAGCACCCACAGACCACGGCTTCACACCGAGCGGCTAAACAAGACGATTGCCGACATGCTGGCAATGTAGGTTGATGTCGAACACAAGACGTGGGACGCCATTCTCCCGTACGTGACCTTCGCATACAGCACGGCGGTGCTGGAGACGAACGCAGATATCTCCATACGAATTGGTCTACGGAAGGAGCCCGGCAACGACGCTCGATGCCATGATATTCGAAGCCACCGATGAAAAAAACCTCGATGTAAGTGAGTACCTTCAGCGCGCCAAAGAAGCCCGACAGCTCGCGCACCTCCGTATCGAGAGTCAGACGACCGACAGCCGCCGTTACAATCTTCGACGACGCTTCGTGGAATACCAGCCCGGTGAACGTGTTTGGGTGTGGACGCCGATACGCTGACGTGGACTCAGTGAAAAACGTCTGCGACGGTACTTCGGACCGTACAGGGTTGTTCGACGTCTCGGCCCATTCGATTACGAGGTTGTCCCCGACGGCCTCCCAAACTTTCAACGATGCCGATCGCGACCTGAATTTGTCCATGTCACGCACCTCAAGCCGTTTCATGCGCGTTAATAAACTGAAACAGTGTTTTTTCGTATTATTGATTTATCGTAATTTGTTGTTTGTACTTTCTTGCATTATTGTTGTACCTTCATCTTCCGTTAGAGCATCGGGACAATGCCTTTTTCAGAGAGGGGCAACGCCACGTTCCTTTTCTCAAGTATTGTTATCATCCCAATACGCTACACAATTATCAGCGCAAACCGCGCCAGCAGTTTTCGATAAGCTTCAGGACTGTAGTAGAGCATTTCGATAAGATCACACCAACTCCCCAAACTGTACAGATTATTCATGAACTGCGTCACCGCTAGCGACAATGCTAGAACATTCGATGGCAACTTTGAATGCCGACGCGCTTCACCGCTTGTCAGTTGATCGATGACCAACGCTGCATGCACCGCTATCTGCGCAATTGTGCTACTGTAACCTGATTTTCCGTTTAGCGGGCACAGGTTTGCTCAAATAAATAGTTTGATCGGACCATTCCGTCTCTTGCCTTCAAGCACTTCACGACCCCGTGATGATATCTGCTCTAAATTAGAGCTCGTGAGTGCGTTCAAAAAGTATTTAAGCACCTTCCTACCAGTGATGCCAAGCCTTAAAACAGCGGAGCAGGGCAGCCTTTCTTATTTTACTTCGTTTCTTTCTTTTGTTGTTGTCTCATTTTCGTCTTTCTAGGTTTCTATTATAATTTATGTTTTTCTTCATATTCTTTTCTGTGTCTCTCTGGTTATTTCGCGCATGCTTTTTGTTTCAATCAATATTTATACAAGATTTTGCCTGTGAGACGCCAAGCAACAGCACAGCACTACTACAGCCTGGTCTCCTAACGCCCTTCGCACTTAGCATATTCAACAAGGGCCTGCTGTAAGAACAAGAGAAAGAAGTCTTCTCTATGGCGTGAATGTACTTATGACCACGTGTAGCATAGATGGCTATGCTACACGGGTCATGCCAGCCTTCCGCCAAACGATGACAGTCAATTAAAGCATGCGACTAACGGGTCGGTGCCCCTAAGGCGCTCTGCACTATAAAAAGCCACAGCTTTGACACAAAGGCGAAGCAATGAACGCAATAGCAACGCATTGGAAGGTCGCTCGCAGAATGGCTAGCAGATCGAAACGTGCCCTGTGCTTTTCACGCACAAATGACGCACGAAACATTCTTACAGGTACAGATGAACGCGAAAAAGCGTCCCATTTGTTACTTCGCTGTGTCTGAAAAGCGCGCCCTTTTCGCAAACGGAGATTGTGCAGCGATAGCAGTGACCTTTGTGCACCCTGTAACTACAATGGAATCGTTCGAGTGCAAGCCTAACGCTAGCCAATACGAATGATCCTCCCCACCGGGAGATAAGGGCGCGCGAGAGATCGTCCACTTCCCTCCTTTCCGCGGGCCAAAGTACAGGTGAGAGGTGAGAGCTGCCACGTTCTCAGTGCGCCATCTTGCTGATAATGTTCAAAATACGATAGTCTCCCCCCTCCCCCCGAGGTGCCCGTTAACCGCAGTAAGGGGTAGATATAAATAGCTTGCCGTTTGAGCGTTCAAGGATGTCGTCCTGGGTGGCTCAATGGTTGACGCCTCGCATTCACGACGCGGAAGTCCCACGTTCGATTTCGCACGCCGGAGCCATCTTTCAGGATTTTTTTCTTTCTGGCCTTTCCACATATACTGACACGTATACATATAAGGTACATGACATCGACGCTGACGCTGGCGGCGAAATCAAGCTGAGAGTGTCTATATAATTGATAAATTGATATTGCAATAAAACGGGGGCCGCTACACTAGTTGTGCAAGGACTGTGAAAACTACTGATTTGCGGCCGGTGCCCTCTTTTTTATCCACTTCACTTTCCCGTCCTACCACCTGTCTATATTTTAGCTTACGTGGTTGCACTATTGCTTACCTTCAGTCAATCTACTTTTCTTCCTTCTTGGCACTACGCCGTCTTCCCAATCCATCGCTATGCTAATGTGCACATCAGAGGACTGAAGCACACTGGTACACATAACTACGTGATTCTATGTCTGTTTCTGTCCGTATTCTCCTGGTTTACACGATTTCTATCAAACTTTCTATTTATATTTTTCTCATTTTCTTATTGATAGAAGCGGAATCAACTGGTCTTCATAATGCTTAATTAGCTGCCATACCTTCATCAGCGAACGGTCGGAACGCTCTAGTTTCGGAGTATGAGTACCTCCTTTCAAATTTCTTTTCACAAAAATTTTATAGCGCTCCTTTAGTTCTGTTCTTTGATTATGATTTTCTCTTCTACCCCTATCATTCCTTCTCTCTACTTTTTTGTGCAGACTCATCGCTGAACAATCGCATCCCCTTTCATCTGGGCTCCATGGCCTTGCCTCAATTTAGTAAAGTTCACTCGCCTTCCCCCCTCCCATCATCTCGTTTCAACCACCTTTCTCATCACTCTTCATTGCATTTTTTTTTGTTCCGCTGTTGTCCCTGTAGCGTATTGAGTGAGGCTTGCACGATTCCTGTTGCGCCCACTCACCCGACTTTCTGCACATAATTTTAATGCGTACCATGGCTTAAACAGATCCACAGCTAAATTAAACATAATCTCTTTCTCTGCAGCGCTGTCGACCAACGGAACGTTTTGCAGTAATACCAGCAGCGCAGCGATACTAAGGCACCCGCCTGGAAACAGCAGTTATTGGGACACTGTTAAGGTGACAGCAAATATGTACGTATGCTATTGTTTATTCTTCATTTGCTGTACATGACACGAAAACACAGCCTATACCACCGAAGAAAGTCTGAAGAGGCGGGTGAAATTTACAGAAATCGCTACTAACAACATAAGAATCCGAAACCTCCGCATTCAAGATTCTTACAATTTAAGCGTCCTACACTCAAGATATCTTACATTAGTCACAGGGAAATGTTTGCCGTGTAGTCTGTTTTCGGTCGGAATTCGAAAAACATTAACAAACATGACGCCTCAAATAATAACCTCTATCATCTGTACTGTTTATGTGTTGCTAGAAATCTAGCAGCCTGTACTTTGCTGGTGAATTTTTGCAACGATAAATCATAGAATACCAGCAATACGAAAAAGAGTTGCGTTAAACAACCCCTCTCAGCTATCAAAGTACTTGAACCATGGCCACATCCTGACAACCTAAGCCACGGAGAAAGCGGTCTTGGTGATATTTAAGGACTCTCACTTTCGAAAATATTTTTAATAATCAGTGTATTTTTTGCATAGTAATGTACCATTACTAAAGTATATCGCCGAGATGTTTAGTGTAAGTGTGTTGAAAGTTATACACATAGAATTTATGTGACTACTTCGTAGGTACTGTACTCTGCCTTTTGGCTCTGATAATTATATATATATATATATATATATATATATATTATCTATATATGCCTATATAGCTTCAATTTTTTTTATATTTCCTCGTTGCTCTTTTGTTCTACCTCTGTTTCTTGTGTTTCTTCAAGGCTAAATAAAAAATAAAACTAAATATCTCAACTGCTGAGAGTGCCGCTAAGGAACTGATTTGGTGTAACTAGATTTTATGAGAATTGGCTAACATACGCTAATTCAGAAGTCTGCCATCACAGCGTGGCGGGTCCGGTAGCTTGTGTCCCTCAATACAAGTGAGCCCAATTAGAGCACGTACACTTTCGTGCGTGTTGGTCTCTCAATGGCTACGCCCCCACGCCCTCACATGGCACGGTCGAATTACACCCCCATATGCAGGTCTAACCACGACAGCACCACATATAATGCCCCACGTGACCAGCGAGCCACCGAAACAGCAAGACATGAACCCCTAACCTTCGACACCATTCGAATGTGGAAACCCGGCAGGCACTGCTACGAAGACTACGTTGTGTTACGGGTCTCGTACAAGCGCCGGAAGACATGCAGGTCATTTTCACTCCTCTTGTGCATGAACCCGGAAACCAGCGCCCTCCTCGAGACGTTTTTCCTCAAGATCCCGAAACCCGCTTCATGCTAAGTCGCTGTAGCCCTCTTCACTCACCCATTTCTGCATCGGAAACGCAGTCACCGCAGTTCTACTGCCATATTCAGCTACCCGACAAAAACGTGGACACGCACTGCGCAAAACTGCAGAACATGGTGAATCGCTATAAATATTCGTCAGCAGTTGTTGAAAAAAGACTGGCACGTTGTCACTTTATCGTCTGCTTCCTGCACTCCCCTCCTTCGGGCCAGCTGTGCAGAAACGCGAATCTCACAATCAAGATCATCAAGCCCATCAATCCATTGCTGGTAAAACAAGTGGTCATGGGAGAACAAGTTTTCCCATAACCATACAGAACACTCCTACGAGCTCAACATGGCCGCCACGAAAACCAACAAGCTTGTCTTTCGACCTAATCTCAGAGGTAAGCCTATACTTTACGGCAGTCCACTGTCTGCTTCCGGTTGCAGTAATGTATGCTTCACATATGGGGGGCTCCACAGAATTCACATGTGGACGGCTCACGCCAGCCGTCCACATGTGAATTCTGTGGCCTCGCGCCTCATCATTCACAGTACCCCACCTGGTGCCCAGCCTGCAACTTTTGCAAAAAAATTGCCCGCAGCTTCCCTCGGGGGAACACTGAGGAGGATGCGGACCATATAATTGGTTAACGGGGTGTTAAATTGCGACTTACTTGGGTCGGTGGCTAAATTGGTTAACGTGGTTGTAGGAGGGGGTGTTAAATGAGTGAACACGTACACACGTATGCGAAAGGGCGGCGCTGGTCGAAGGGACGTCGATCATTGTGTTTGTGGATTCGTTGGAATTCATTTCACCGCGACATTGGACGTCGACGCGCCGTACAAACCAACCGACGAGCGGCAACTGAGCGAGCGAGCGCCGACCTTGAGTATATATACAGCACGACGGCGCATGCACTGTCAGCTGTTGAATGTTCTCGAAGCGCGACGCCACATGCGCGTCCACTGGAGAATCAGGAGAATTGTAGATGTCGAACGCGGTGTGTAGAGGAGGAAGGGTGCACAGATGGTGGAGGAGTGAAGCGCGCGCGGTATGTAGAGGAGGAAGAGATGCACAGATGGTGGAAGAGTGGGCGACGGCGCGACGGCGCATGCGCGCGCGTCAGCTGTCGAATGTTTGAGAAGCGGTGCGGACGGCGCACTACAAGGCGCGAGTATAAGATGCTCCGCATCTAAAAATGAAAATGCCATTTTGCTGACGCATACCCCTCCAAAAACTGCAAGCATTGCAAACTTGGCTCCATTCGCAGGTACGGTGTCGTTACAGCCACTGCGGCAAAGGTCGTTTCCGACACAGAATGCAACGACACATCACAGTTCATGTTTGACTACAGAGCCAAAGTATCCAATGTTTCAAGCGACTTTCCTACGCTGCTCGCCAAGCTCGACCAAATCCACCGTCTGCTCATTGGGCTTGTACTGGACAGCCACTCCACATGTTAGGCGTGCATTTTGGCACAACTTTGCGGCAAGCAGAAGCAAGCTATGAACGCATTTGTATAACCTCGGCTCTCACTGTGCTTTTCGTGGGATTGCCAGAGCTCCAAGCCCTCCAGTAGGGAGACTTCTTGATGAACTTAAGGCTCCAAGAGCCCCTGAAGATCCCAAAGTCTTCAAGAGAACGGGCACCCACAATGAAGAATACATCGCCTGGCTGAAACCTCTTTTAGCGTCACTCACGGCATCCCCACCCCACTGCCCGAAAGTGTTCGTCACGAGCTACAGAAATTGGAGATCACAAGCGGGATCGAGAGGGTTTAAAGGCAATCAACTTAGTGCTCTGGTCATATCTATGGGGCTGCGACGTACGGCATAGCAACGATGCCCCTTCTCTATGGAGCATGCTTCATAAGAAACGAATATGGTGCCGTGCCTAATTTAAAGCAGAAAGTTCTTCTTAGACAATTTTCCGTAAAACTCGGTGAAAGATTTCGAAATTCATTCAACTTCATAATATTTGCTGAAAGCGTATTGCCTCAATTCCTCTTCAAGTTTTGTAATAACCCCATTTCACTGTCAGTATTTCTCAGCGCAAACTGCGCCAGCACTGTTTGAGAAGTTCAGGACCACAGTAAATCATTTTGTTAAATAACGGTCACTTCATGAACTATACAGATTATACTAGAACCTAAGTTTCCACAAGCGATAACGCTAGAGCATTCGATGGCAAATATATAAATACCAACGCGCTCCGCAACTTGTCAGTCGATCGACGGCCAACGCTCTGCTCGCCGCTGTCAGTGCGGATGTCTTGCTCTAACCTGACTATCCTCTTCCGTGGCCACAAGTTTGGCCCAAATAAACACTTTAATATACGACCTGCAGTCTGCTTCCTTTGTCCATGTTCTGGCCCTGTGAAAATATTCCATTGTCTAGCAGCATGGGCTATCTTGACCAAATCGCCAAGCCTGCGCCGAACCCACAGCACTGTCACAGCCAGAAATAGAACAGCACATTTGGAAGGGTCAGTTGTAACACGTTCACATGCAAGGCACTCACTCCGTCATAAACCACCGAAACTTTCAGGGAGTAGAGAAGCACCTAATATGCCACTGCCTACTGCAGAATTTCGCCGGTATTGCCGGTCAATATTTTTCTAACTTTAGTGCAGGGTAGCGAAGTGAACCGAAGGCTACAATCATGGTTGACCTCTGTGATAATATGGGCAGAAGAGCGAAGACGATATAGAAGAGTGCACAGGTTCGGGAAGTGCGTGACAGGGTTGAAAACAGTTAAGCGGGCAAGGACAGGTGGTTCTTGGCTGGACGACCAGTCCGTGGAACTATAAGACGTCCTCTAGGCGCTGTACTGTCCTGGACTCCGGCTGGGAGACTGTCCCAGGGACCAGGCGATCTGCTGCTGTACCGGCTGCCGTTCCTGACAGCAGGACGACCGGTGAACGAGGCCTGGACTCCGGTTGGGTGACTAGCCCAAGGACCAGGCGAGGTTCCACTGTTCCGGCTGCCGTCCCCAGTGGTTACGAGTTCCCGGTTGCTGTGGGCCGTTGATCCTGCTGCCTTTCTGGGTGGCTGGCACGACCCAGGTGTGCTACTGGGACGAACTTGGCGGCTGCGAGCTGTTGCTCCAGTGCGGAGCTTCCGAGCGACTGCTACCAGCTTGCTGCTACTGCGGCAGAATGCCATGAAATGGCGTTGGCCAATTCACGTTAAAGACGTCAAGGGGACACACGGCACGTCGCCCTGAGCGATCTGAGTCCAAGTCTAAGCAAAAAACGGCGAGGGACTTCTGATTTAGAGAGAGATTACGGATAGAACTGCATGTGACCGACTATGTTTAGAGATGTTCCATTATTGTTGCTTTTTCAGTGTAAGTACCTTTTGTGTGCGTGTGTGCACTCGTGGCTCGATTGGTTCTTAACTAGTGGTCCTATGCCCAAACTTGGCACTACGTCACAACCTCTCTGCCTTTCGTTCAGTTGGTTCTCTTTGTGAATAGTTGAGGTATGCGCACCACATGTATGTGTAACGGGTACTCTAAGTTAACAGCTCGCATTAATACACACACACACACATACACACACACACACACACACACATATATATATATATATATATATATATATATATATATATATATATATATATATATATATATACATAGTAGCTATGCTGAGGCAGACAGGCTAAAAAAATTACGGCATATTCACGGGTGAATGATGATGAATGGGCGAAGCTCCGGAG